AGGAAAAATTATCCTTTTTTTCATTATTTTTCAAAATTAAAACTACTCAGCCTTACGTTTTAAGCTGTTTTCATCAATTAATATGCTTATCCTCAAATTAATATGTTTATAGTTAAAATAAAAACCATTTTTAAGAAAATGGTACCCGAACGAGGTCGGATACCTTAAACCATAAAATTAAGTTCAAGAGCAATAACGCAAAATAATTTTAAAATGAGCATAGCTTTAGAATATCCGATAGACAGTCTCGCGCGCTGGAGATAATTTTTTTTTTTTTTTTTTTTTTTTTTCTGTACAACGTTAACCGTAGCTCGCTTTAAAATCCTTGAGTTTGTTAATCAAAAATTCGTTAAAGTTTTACAAAATAGGAAATCGATAATGAAAGGAATTCTAAATTTCAAATTTGGGCTTCCAGATGCCCATATTCGCAGGAGGACTACATTATTTAAAATTGGATGATTCTAGGTACCGTTGTTTTATCACAATGCGAGAAACATACGTACATTTATACAGCTTCTTCATTATTTAATTTCTTTATATATAATACAGGGCGATAATATTTGGTGGCAAGAATTTGAAAATGAAACAACACTCATAGTGAATCAACACAAAATGCGAAAACGAAATTAATAGTCCCTCTGAGCAAATTGCCCATTTGGACTAAAAGAAAACATTAAGAATTTCCAAAAATAATCGATTACGCAAAATTTAATTAAAACTGAGTGAAATTAGAGCTTCTTAGTAAAAATATGGTGCTTAATAAATACAGAAAGCGATGCTTGGTAAATTTCAGAACGAGAAAGCTTTAAAATAAGATACAGTAAGACCCCGCTTAACGCGGGGGATACGTTCCATCAAAGTAGAGCGTAATGCGAAACAGCGCTAAACGAGGCTATCTTTACATGTAAATATTGGGGTTAGGGGAAGATGACTAGGAAATTGGTTAGGTATTAAATTTAAAAAGTATGTTTTTTTAATAAAAATAAAACCAAACATTTATTTCTTAAAGCCCAAATTAATACCACATTATTATTTCTTGCAAAAATAAAAACAAAATATAAATAACAAAACGAATATTCTTAAAAAAAAAAAACAAATAAAATTCTAAGTCAGTCATATTAAGTTAGCCTTCCGCGTTTTCAGTGTTCTGCCTTTTTGTGACAAAAGCATCTAATGTTGTTTGCCTTTTTCTTTTGCGTTGTTCTCTTAAAAGTTCTTCATAAACGGATAGAGCATCTCTAACACCACGCCTTACTTTTGAGCTCCTGTCAAAATTCGGATCATTTTCAATGAATTGATCCATTATTTCAGTTATGGTAGACAAACTCCTTTTTACAAACGCCATCGAAAGTTATTTTTGCTCTTCTTCTGAATCACTGCTGTCAACATTTTGTTTTCTTCTTGTTCAGTTAATTCCTTGAGCTCATCATTAGAAAGACTAGCCGCTGCTTCTTGAATTATTTCTTCGACATCTTCCACATTTACCCCTTCAAAATATGTCTGTACGATACCGCACCAAACAAGAAATACAAGTACACTCTTTCGGATATGTATTTGAAACCTATCGCTGCATAATATTTCGCGGGATCCACGTATGCTGCGAGCGATTTCGTGGAATCCCCGGGTTGAAATAAAAGAGCGCTAAACCGAAACAGCGCTAAACGAAACAGCGTTAAGCGGGGTCTTACTGTATATATATATTTTTTTTTAAATTTAAAAGCTATTTCTATTAGCTTGATTCGCACTAAAAAGTAAGAAATAAGATAATTATATGACTTCTTGACCACAACACTCAAAAATTTCAGAAGCCAATATTAAGAGCAACTGTAGTTTTTGAATGTTGTGATCAAGAACTCTTATAATTATCTTATTTCATACGTTTTAGTGCGAATCAAGCTAATAGAAATATCTTTTAGATTAATTTATATTTTATGTGATTTTAGGTTGATAGTTTTAGACAGCAAAGTATTTGGTCGTTCCGCAATGAACGAAATCTTCTTTCCTTTTCTTTTAAAGTTTTTCAAACTAAACTAGAAAATTTTATGAAATCAGTTTCAGTAATGAAGCAGAAGGGCTTTGTAAACACGAAATATAGCTTTTAATATGGTCTCCACAGAGTAATACGTCCAGTCAGTAAAATATTCATCATACTAAAGTCAGTAAAATATACTGCCAGTAAAATATTCACCAGTCAGTAAAATACATAAGTAAAGTAAAAAAAAAAAAAAGAATATCTTTACGGGTAGAATTAGGAAGATATTAGTAACTAACAGTTTGAAGTGGGTAGCTACAATGTTTATTCTGAGTGCTGTTCTATTCGATTCAGAACCATTAATCGCTAAAATGAACAGTTTTCATTTCGTAGCGTTTTCGTTTGATCGGAATCGTTTAGTAAATAAGCAATGAAAAATTACCTGAGTCAATAAATTTGCTTATAATTGTCTCCGCTAGTTTTCAGTTAAAGTTATCGAAATTCTTTTAAAGCATAATGTATATTTTGCTACTTGGACTTCCCGATTTCCGGAGATCATGAATTTCCTCATTCAGTTTTATATTTTTTCACCATTCAGTTTTATAAACTGCCACATTCGCAATGCCGAAACTGTTTCCACTTAATTTTTATCTCATTTCTAAGAAATTTCGTGATTTGAAGTACATTTTTGAGATTAAAATTTAAAGAAATAAAGTCCTCAACCATATTTTTCTGCATTCTCTCTAAGTACTACTGTATATTTAATTTAGAGCAGTAATGTACATTAAAGAAATACTCATTTGGGTTTTGCGTATTACAATGCATCCTGATAAAAATAGGATCTTGAGTGGAAATAGATTGAGATACTACTATGTTTAAGGCAGTTAATGAAACGTATATTTACAAGCCAGCCTCATATTACGCCTCAAGCCTTACTGCGTCTGTCCGTTGTGTTAGATTCCGTATTATCTCTTAACTGACTCCACGTTAAGTTCGATGCCAAGTTATCACTACCTATCTGGATTAAAGAACAATACAAAAATTCATCGAAATTGTGGTATTTTACACGCTCGCAGTACTTTTGTACACGCATTTCTAAATGTTTGAGAATGAATATCCAATACTTCATGTTATGTATTATCTCTTACAGTGGAAAGATATACCATCGCATTATCCATTATGAGGACTTTTATCCCTTGGGAAGGGTGAGGGAAAATCTTTGATCTTTTATGCTGTTTCTTAAACAGATAAACTATTTTTATGTATCAGGATTTCGATAGGAAAAAAGGAAAAAGTTCAGTTTGAGAGTTTGGTCTAAAGTTGCCTCAGTATCGAATTCGAATAAGCAATTTTTTAAACTAGATATTAGAATTTAAAAAACTATTTTTGCAAAGACGAATTCTTTTTTTTTCATGCTTGAAATATATATAGTTATTAATTATCCAATTAAAAGTTTCCTTTTTGAGCTGTAACCCGCCTGTTACGCCATCCATTGCTCGCCGAAAGAGCGCGCTTCCGATATTCGTATAAAGCCTAAAAAATGAATGAAGTTTTGTGTTTCAGAGATGTGGCAACACGCGAATATTTTTATTGTAATTGTGTTCTAAAGATATAAGTGAATTGTGTTTCCAGTTTGTACGTTGGAGCAAGAGTAAAATATTTATGATATTTATTGTGTAGAGTTTTGATTTCCAGCCCTTTCCACAAAGAGGTGAACATAACATTTTTGGTGTCAGGAAGTGGAGTAAGGTGGAAATGTGATAGTAATAATGCGTATCATCAAATTTTGAGAGAAAAAATAATGTGTTGATATGGGAATATGTGTTGCAGGGAAATTAACGGTGAAGATGATGCTTTCCTTGATTATGGTGAGTAGTTATTTGGTTTGTTGTATTAATGTTTAGTGTTAAATTCTGTTTATTAGTGTTGTGTATTGAGGTGTTCCTACTTGATAATTTGAGTTGATAGAGTCTGTGTTGAGTTTGATTGTGTTCGTTTTTGTACTCGTTGTGTTCTAGTTGTCAATTCAAGGTGTATTTTTCTTTGAATTAAGATGAGTCTGAAGTCGCTTAAGTCATTAAAAAAAGACGAGTTGACGCTCGTCGCGGAGGAATTAGGATTAGTAATTCCGAGCGGAGCGAAAATTATTACTTTGAAAACTTTAATAGAAAGTTCAGAAGTTTGTGCAAATGATGCTGAATTTGTGCAAAATGTTATTGATAATATTCTAGAGGAAAAGAAAATACAAATTGAGAAAGAAAAATCGGAAAACGAAATTAGATTAGACTTAGAGAAAATAAAACTTTCTCATTTAGAGGCGGAATTAGCTTTAGCCAACACTAGAAAAGACTTGCTACAAAATCCAAATGTTGAGACGGACAACTCAAATCGAAATATGGAAAATTTAATTAAAAGTGTAAAAACATTAACAATTTCTGTACCTACTAAAGCAGAATCCTTTAATCTCTTTTTTCAATCAATTGAAAGGGCTTTTAGGACAAAACAAGTACCTGAAGATTTAAAAGCAGAAATCCTATTAAATATTTTGGGAGAATTCACTAATTTAATGGTATATGTGAAGGAAGAAGATATTAATAATTACGATAAACTAAAGTCCATGATTTTAAAGGAATTTCAACCAACCCCTCAAGAGTGCTTAAATCATTTTCGTTCTACGCAAAAATTGTCATCTGAGAACTTTGTACAGTTTGCATCAAGGTTAAGTGCAAATTTTGAATATTATTGTCAGTTGAGAAATGTAAAAGATTTTAAATCGTTATGTGATCTTATGGTTTCGGATAAAATATTCAGTGAACTTGATCGTGAATTAAAAACCCATATAGCAGTTAAACAGGGAGAGACATGGTTCGAACCCCAAAGTTTAGGTCGTGAATGCGATATTTATTTGTCATCAAAAGGTAAACAAAAACCAGAATCCCTTTTTGCAAAATCATTTATATTTTCATTATATTTATTCATTATATTATATTAATCATTATATTTATTATTTTCCCTTTTTGCTTTACAGGGAAGTCAAGATGTTTACAAGCCAAATGTTAAGACTGCAGTTTCAGCGAATTTTTGTGTAACCGCTTTAGATGTTCAGATATTATGGGAGCTTGATGCTTTAGGAATTAAAGTAAAAGAAGAGTTAAATGTAGTTGATAAAGCGCTGATAGATAAATTTGAGAAAAATTTAAAATTCGTGAATGAGAGATATGAAACTGATTTATTATGGAAGTTTAGTTACGATGAATTAGGAAATAATTATTTTTTAGCTAAAAAGAGGTTTGATGAGTTAGTAAAGGATTTTTTTAAAAATGATTGGGTTGCTAATGAGTATAGGGATATAATAAATGACCAAAAACAAAATGGAGTTATTGAGGAATGTGGTAGAGATGAGCATGAGTATTTTATGCCTCATAGAGCAGTTATCAAGATAAAGAAACAACTAACGTTCGTATAGTCTTTAACTGCAAAAATCTAAAGGTAATCTTTCTTTAAACGATTGTTTGGAAACTGGCCCAAATTTAAATCCAAATATTCTTGATGTGATTCTAAAATTTCGTAATTACAAAATAGCGTTTAATGGTGATATAGAGAAGGCTTTCTTAATGATAAAAATTTCTGAAAGAGATAGAAAATTCTTAAAATTTCTTTGGTATTCAGATAACCCTAGTGAAGAATATAAAATTATGAGAATGAAAAGACTACCCTTTGGATGTAAAAGTTCCCCTTTCATTTTGAGTGCTACGATAAAGCATCATATAAAAAATATAAGGAAAGTAAACCGAAGTCATTTGAAATGTTAAATTCATCACTTTACGTAGACGATTTATATTATGGTGGAGACAGTGTGAGAGAATCATTTGAGTTGTCGTCGGATGCTGTATCAATATTAAAGAGTGGTGGATTTAATTTAAGGAAACTGAGGTCGAACAGTAGAGAATTAGAAAAATTGTGGATAGAAAATGGACTTAGTGACAGTGAGATAGTGGGAGTTCAACAACTGAAAGTCCTAGGGTTGAATTGGAATCCTGATAGAGATGAGTTGTCGTTGGAGGTGAAGGGTTTGGTGGATTCGTGGAAAACGCTGCGACGCACTAAAAGATGTGTTTTACAGACAGCTGCAAGAATCTTTGATCCTATTGGTTTGATTGCGCCGTTTGTGATACGTATAAAGTTATTGTTACAGGAAATTTGGGAGAGAGCGTGTGATTGGGACGAAGAATTGCCGGAGGACTTGCAGCAAAAGTGGATAACGTGGTGTAAAGAAATTGAAAAATTGATAGACGTTACTATTCCGAGATATTGTTTTCTGGATTGTGAGAATGAGCAATCCGAAGTACATGTGTTTTGCGATGCTTCACCAAGTGCTTACGGAACTGTTGTTTATTTTAGATATTGTGAGAATAATGGGAATTACAGAGTATCCTTTATAATGTCGAAGAGTAGAGTGTCACCATTAAAGAAATTAACGCTGCCACGGTTGGAGCTAATGGCCATGGTAATAGGTGCTAGAGTGGGAAATTACCTTAAGAGTGTCTTTAAGGATAAAATTGGAAGAATATTGTTTTGGAGTGATTCTTGTATTGCGTTGCATTGGGTGAAGGGAAGTGCGAAGAGATGGAAACAGTTCGTTGCCAACCGGGTTGTGGAAATTCAGGAAAGATCGAGTCCAAGTGATTGGTATTACTGTCCGTCTGACGATAATCTCGCAGATTTGCTTATTAGAGGAATCTTGGCTGAGAAGTTGGTACTTAATGAAAAATGGTGGTCAGGTCCAATTTGTCTTCGAAAATGTTTTGAGAGTTGGTCTAAACATTGGGTTAGAGGATTACCAAATGTAGACAGTGAGGAAATACTAAGAGAGCAAAAAAAATCTGTCAAATGTTTTGTAAAATTAAGTTGAGCAGCTTTGGAACAAATTTTCAGTTTGGAGTAAGTTGCAGAGAGTTGTTGCTTGGTGTTTAAGGTTTATAAGAAATGTGAGGGGGAGTAAGATTTTGGCTCCTTTCTTAGAAACAAGTGAACTAAAAGAAGCGCATGATATTCTAATCAAACTAGTCCAAAGAACTGAGTATAAAAAGGAAATAGCTACTTTAGAGAAAGCGAGAGTGTTAAAGAAAAGTTCTTTAATTTCTCTAAAACCGTTCTTAGACAACAGTGGCATACTACGTGTAGGAGGACGTTTAAGAAATGCCAGCTTACCAGACTCTGTGAAACATCAAATAATATTGCCTAAGAATCATCCTGTTACAAAATTGTTAGTGACATTTTATCACCTTAATTATATGCACGGAGGAGTACAATTAGTTACCTCTGCAATGAAACAAAAGTATTGGATTATAGGAGCAAAAACTGCAATACGCAGAAATAAGAAAAGAAATAAGAAATAAGAAAGTGCGTTATCTGAGCCAGATTTTGCTCTGAGTTTTCGAAACAAATGATGGCTGATTTACCTTCTGAGAGAGTGAATCCCGGAAGACCATTTCTTAAATGCGGAACTGACTTTTCAGAACCATTCTTGATCAGCCCTAGACGTGGTAGAGGAGTTAAACCACTGAAAATTTCAGCTTATGACGGGGTCATGGGGGCCCAGTGTGTTACGCCATCCATTGCTCGCCGAAAGAGCGCGCTTCCGATATTCGTATAAAGCTAAAAAATGAATGAAGTTTTGTGTTTCAGAGATGTGGCAACACGCGATTATTTTTATTGTAATTGTGTTCTAAAGATATAAGTGAATTGTATTTCAAGTTTGTACGTTGGAGCAAGAGTAAAATATTTATGATATTTATTGTGTAGAGTTTTGATTTCCAGCCCATTCCACAAAGAGGTGAACATAACACCGCCTCTTTTTTTTAAACTCTAGCCCCTTTGAAAAATGAAAGTGATTTCACGTTCCCCTTTTATTACCCCCTTTTAACTAATTCATTACTAATTATAACGCCTATTTGAAGATAAATAATAAATGTTTTCATTCTGAGCATTTTATATTTCACATATTTAAGAAAAAATTAACATAATTGACATACTTTTTGTGTAAGAAGGCAAAACTAGAGTTATACTGTATAACAAAGAGGATAAAATAAAATCCAATCGCATCTGTTTTTTTTTTTTTTTTAACAAATCGTCTGAGATTGGTAAAGCCATAATTTCATTAAGATACACTAGAAAAGGGTACAAACATGAAGCTAAGCACAAAAATTACATGCTAGCATTAAAAGTAAGAATTAGTTAAAGGAATAAGTGAAAGCAATTTTTACATACAAAGTAAAACGACAAAATTGACTTTAAAATCTATTGTGATTTCAAAAATTTCAATCTTTGTATTTCTTTGTATGAGTTTTTTTTGGAAATTATTAAATATTCCATCGTTATTTCGTGTATACGAGCCAGTTTCCCTTAGAAAGTCCTCCACGAAGGCATCCCTCCCTGAGGCAGATAGCCCTAGTGTGCTTTGCCGTATTCTCAATTCACCTGAAATACACCATCCTTATTTCATATTGCATTTGGAATTTTTTCAAATCTTTATACTAGAAATAACATTTGCGAATGTGATTTGTTGTATTTCTGCCAACTATTGAATAAAAGATCCAGTACTTGTTTATTTATCGTCATACTCCATTCTGAAATTATAATCTTGTACATAAAAATGGATAGCTTCATCAAAATTCTCTATAATAGGGCGTAAATTACATTTTGCAACAAAAAATCCACCTTTTAAAATTCATTTACTACTAATAATATTTGATGCCATTTTATTCCAAGAATATCTGTCTTAATAAAAGAATATCTGTCTTAATAAAAGAATACCTGTCTTTGATATGATGTAATGTCACAGTGTAAGGTTTGTAATGTAATATAACTTTGCCATAGTGTAAGTTTTCCTTTCAAGATATTTTAGCGTTTATTTAAACTATAATTTTTACACTCCGTTTTTAAATCATTGAACTATCTCAGAAACTGTCTTGAATAGTTTGGTGAGAAAAAATAATTTATTTTGCCAATATTTCAATTTTAGAATGCGGATTTCCTGTTTGTATATGAATAGAATCCGTATATAGTTTAAAGATAACAACTAAATTGGCTCAAATATGAAATTTAATTATTTTAGAAATTGAAAAATTGAAAAAAAAATTGATACATTTTGATAATTTATTAAACAAAACCTTTTCCCTCAACTTCTGCTGGGATCACGGAAAAAAATCGCTTATTCGAATATCGACTATATAGTCTTTCTCCTTATTTTTTCTGTCTAGTCAACAGAATTGCTTTCGCTTTGCATATATTATCATGTTCCTCAATATATTTTGCACTTTCATGTTGCTTTATGATGCATGCATTTTTCTCCTGATTTGAATACTATGGAAAAAAAATCGATAAGTCACTGCAGTATCAAGATAACAAATACCTCATAAATAAGTACGTAACTGATCTCATAAATAAATTAAAAACTCTTCTGACGCTGCAGACGACTAATAAATCGTATTTATTAATACACAGTTTTCTAAGTAAACAGTGATATCACAGCGCTTGTTTACGTTAGTGATTGAGCGTACTTAAAACAAGGTATTGCTGTAGAGTCATTAGGTTATTTTGAAGCATTGCTGTAGAGTCATTGGGTTATTTTGAAGCATTGCTGTAGAGTCATTAGGTTATTTTGAAGCAAAAGACATGAAAAAATGAGCAATGTCCTCCCCGGGACTCGAACCTGGACATTTCGAATACGCGCCGAGTGTGCTACCATTACACCACGAAGGCATGCAGAAAGGAGGGAGAAAATACCTTATATTGCAAGTTATTTAAATATCTAAACTGCTCCTGAAAGGTTAAAAACCAATTTCATATACAGAGGATGTTCGCACATTTTTTAGACGATTTCGGTAAGCAGTTATAAAAAATCGTTTGCTGCAAAAGAAGTAATTGCAATTGTACTATGTTTTTAAAAATCAAAATTATCGTCTGTGGCTTGAAAGTTTTTGTTTTTATTAAAAATGGCGAATTTAACAAAGCAGTGGTTCGAAGGCTACATTTACGCTCTTTCCGAAGAGAAATATGCATACTCCGTTATCCAAAAACGATGCGAGAGTCATGGTTTTGTGGTATCTAAAGCGTCGATAGGTAATATCATCAACAAGAAAGGAAAAAAACGTCAAATTGGAGCCTCAAGCGGGACAAAAATTCCAAACAAGTATCCAAGGAAAAAAAAACGGACATCTTCGACTATTACAAAGGTACGTTGTTTAATGTTAAAAGAAAAATCCCCCTAGTCAAAGGACAGTTGCAAAATCATTAAAATGCTCGGTGTTGGTTACTCGAACTTGGACCTTTCAAATACGCGCCGATTGTATTTCCGTGATACCACGAAAGCATACAAAAAGGCGGGAGAAAATATTTTACTAGGTTGAATTTTTTTTTTTTTTTTTTTTTTTTTTTTTTTTTTTTTTTTTTTCAGGTTTAAGTCATTAAAGTAAATACAGTAATCCGAATGTAGTTCATAAATTACCGTTTTCATTTTCTCAAGAGAAAACAGTTTTCTTTCTGCTGTGGCAACAAGAACAGTAATGTTGTATAAAATAACTAAAATTTTAAAAATATAAATAAAAAAGAAATATTTGGGGAATAAATGTTGCTAAAATTCACATTAGCAGCACTTTTTGCAAGTTCTTCCCATGTTCATTTTTTTATTCGTAATGAATGCACTGAAACCCAAATTATTCCTGCATTGCTTTCCTCAAAAACGTTTCGGACTGATACTTGAAGAAGACGGAGAAGTTATCGATAATTTGTCAGAGAGACACGATTGTTGATGTAATTAGTTTCATTACTTAATTCTAGGGAAGTTTAAAGTTAATTCATAGCTAGTGAAAACTAACATTTGATCTCGTATAAGACTCGTATAAGAATGTTGATAAAGAGAACACCGCTGGGCTCCAGTGAAATCAGTTCTGGTGTCGAAGTATTTCAGATTATAAATGAAGCAAATCCTACAGATGTGTGGTTGGAGAAAAACAAGACTGGTGAAAGCTATCGAATTTTTTGGGGGCCAAGATGTAATAAATGCAGTAATGCAGTGTAACAGAAAAAAAAAAAAAAAAAGTGGAAGAAAAGTGATGAAATTGAGATGCAATAACAATTATAGCGAACTGATAAGAGGCAAAGGAAAACATCTTACTGGGCAGTCTGACATGTAAGACCATTCTGCATTTGTTATTACATTAATGCATTAATTCTCGCATATAAAAATTAATACAATAATGCTCACATATATAAATATCTTCTGTTTTTAAATATTAGATTGCGCATGTAAAACGAGAATTTTACGGGGGTTGTTCCAAATAACGGCAGATTTATGAAATGGGGGCTAATCTCATTTAATTTTCTGGAGAGGTTTCATCTTATAATGCAGGATATGTTTTTTTTTTTTTTTTTTTTTTTTTTTTTTTTTAAATTAACGAATAATTTGGTGGACACTAGGGATTGCTATTTGCACAAATCAGCCCTAAGAATCCTCCATCCTCCTTTTGGCTCCGAAATTTCGTGGACTGGCAACGCAGCGTCGATTCTTTGGAAATGATTTTGTTGTTGTCAATCTTTAACCCTTTGACTACTAACGGGACATATATGGCCCACAAAAAGTTTAAAAATTACTTCTGGGTTAAAAAGTACTTAGAATCTCCTGAATGTTGGGAATCATCTTCCAATAGTTGGAAAGTCAAGACGCCGCTGTGCTCGTTGTAGGCAAATGAACATAGAAGAAAGAACAAATATGAGTAACCAAATGTGTTGATGTTGGGTCATGCAAAGAATGCTTTACTCTGTACCATACGATGTAAAATCTATTTCATATAATGAAGTTTTCCAGAATAATAGGAGTGTTTAAGTCGATCTCTACGTGTGGGGCATATGTATCCCACCATTAATTACGGCTGGGACATATGTGTCTCAGCCTTTGGCTTGAAAATCGTTTGTCAAAAAAATCGCAAATGCTAAATTTACTTTATTTATGACATATTTTGTCATTTGGATAGAAAACGGAGTAAAAGATTTTTTTTAAAATTCGGAGTCAAAGGGTTAAAGTAGGCTGTATTAATCTTCATTAAAGAGAATAAACATTTTATGCAGATATCTTTAGTTTGCTAATTATAAAAATCAATTGCAATTGCATGTTAAAATGACTTTCTGCTTTAGGATAATGTATGACAATGAGCTATGGAAGCTTTGCAGAAAAATTAGTGAAAGGTCGTTCATGCCGCCCATATCTCACTAGATATAATAGGATAAAAGTTCATTGCGGACTAAAAGGTGAATGGTCTCCAACTTAATGCTTGAGAAGCTAATGCATCTCTACAAAACTCGAGCAGAATGTAAATATTGCTATTTCGGAAAAAGAAAACCTACGCCTAATCTGTACAGCGATCTGGCATTTGGCTAAGGAACATGAAGAACTGGGGATTTAATTCTGAATTTTCCGACTGCTAGACGGACGTACTTCCAGTTACACAACGCGCTGAGGAACAGGAAACTTCCTTATAAACCTATTAATGACTCCGTCTACTAGTAATGATTCCTGTCTGCGAACTTTCGGAGCAAGAATCGTAAAACACACATTAAGGAAAATATATGTTTTCTTATATTCGAGCCAGGAAAGTGAATGATAAATATCTGATTGCATTTCTCGGCTTCTTAAAATCCAACTGTATTTAAAGATGAGTCATATACACATAGAAAAAGAAGCCATCATCAAGATATTACTTATCATGACAAGGCAGCCCAGCTCTCTTAAGAGGTA